CCCGTTCCAAAAGCCAGAGGATATGCTTGCATTAAGGCCTACTTTTCCTCCTCCTCATATTTATTCTTATCTTAAACTCAACTTAACAAACAAAAATTTGCTTATCTTATACGAAATCTCAGGCCTCCAACAAATTGTAGTTATCTTGCTAAAGTGCAGGTGATGTTATTATCCAATTTTTAATTATTAATATCATATTTATTTATCTAAATTATTTACTATTTTTTAATTTATTAAAATAATAAAATATAAAATTAAAAAATATAATATAATGATATATTAAATAATTATATTAAAATAATATGATATTAACTATTTAAAAGTGATAATGGACATATTTGGTGAAACTTGTAAGAGTTTCAGTTTTTTGATACTATTTATATTTCATAATTTGAATTTTCTTCTTAAAAATTTATTTTTTTATTTTTTTTTAATTTTAAAAAGATCTTAAACAGTAAGTTTTGAAAATTTTCAAATTTATACTTTTTATAAATTTCATATTTACTCATTTCTTACTCTTTTTTTTTTTAATTTCTAAAAATAACTTTTAGATTTTTCCTCCAATAAAATTTTAAACTTATCACTCATAAACAATATAAAAAAAATAAAAACTCTTACAAATTTTACCAAACATGCTCAATTCCCTCCATCTTCTTAAAAGTACTTCTTTTTTTTTTTTTTGTCTAAAGCTAAATTAACTTTTAAGACATTTTAACTTCTAAGGCATTTAGTTCTTGAAAAATTCCTCTTAAATTGTTCTCAATTTTAAAATTTTAAAAGTATACGTTATTTACCCACGCAGATAGAAAGAAAAAAGGGGTCGAGTTAACATTTTTGTCCCTCATCAAATTTCTTGGGGAAACAAAAAAGTAAACATATTAATCAACTATATTAGGCTTAATTAAATAAAATTGGCTATATTTCTCTCAAAAGTTAATTTTCTAGGATCCAAGTTTAGAAGACAACTTTGTACAAAGAGATGCCTGAGTGCAAATTTTGTAATGGTAACAAGCATTTTTATTTTTAAAACTTGTGTTGTAGAAAGTGTGCATAAATAGGGGTACCTAGGCATTAAATGGTAAACCTAGTGGCACCTAAGGCTTTCAACGAAGAAGATTGTCTCTATTGTTGCAGTTAGTTGCAAGGAACAAAGATCACATTCCATTTTAATTCAATTCGACAGGAGAATGAAGAATTTGGAAAGGAATAATTGGATACATAAGAAGAGAAGATTTTTTGAAGTGAAAAATAATGGAGGAGGTTTTGAGATGGATTGAAGGAGAATCTCCTTTTATGTTTTGCCTGGTTCTGTTTAAAAGTTTTTTATATAGTTAATGACCTAAATAAATCAGTAGTCATCTTCTTTCGTTAGAGATAAAAGATTCTGAATTTGAATCACATGACATGCAGGTGGAGTAAGATAAAAGATAGAAAATAATTATTTTTTATTATACAATCAA